ATTCGATCTTTCTTACGATAGTGTGAAAATTGATTGAATCGGTACATTGCATTCCTTTAATAATCTTATCTTACAGTGGGAAGATGGAAGCAATCGGCGTACCACCAAGCCTGCTTTCCATATAACACAAACTCGATCTGATTCTTTCACATTCCAGTATACAATTAAATCAAAGAATATACTTTGTACGAGTATTGCTTTTGACGTGTGCCACCTTATGACCAAAAATTGTCAAAACCGAATCAAGCTCCGCGGTATTCCTAATAATGCTGTATCTTTGGGCCTAAAATGGATCTAATGGGGTGAAAACTTTACCTAGCCCTCATATAACTAATATCAGAATTTTTTAAACATCTGGCTGACTTTACTCCATATAGATTGGTGATGGTATGTGAGGCACCTTAATGAAGGAACCCAGGGCATATTTTATTAGTACTTGATAGTACATGTAGGTACATATAATATTTTTCGTTTTTCTAACAAGTTTTATGCCAAATATGTCGGTTAGTGAGTAATTTCGCCGTTCCTCTGGTTGACGTTTTCCCTTTCAACTCAATATATGTATATTAAATTTAGTCCCATCGGTTGAGTTGATATCTTATACATATATCTCATTTTAAAATGTTTTTAATATAATTTTAGCTGACGCGAACTAAGATATAACAATAAAACTAAGTCCAAATTTATGGTTTTCAATATAATTTAAGAGAATACTAAATATGATTGTATTTATTATTTCATCGAATAATGGATGCTTAATTCTTTCTCCAACATTTTTATACTCTCGTAACATGTTGAGTTGAGTATAATAGTTTTCTTCACATAACGGTTGTTTATATCATCTAAAACTAATCAAGTTAGATGTAGGGTTATATATACATATATATAAATGATCAGAATGAAGGGACGAGTTGAAATCCGGATGACTGTCTGTCCGTCCGTCCGTTTGTCTGCCTGTGCAAGCGGTAACTTGAGTAAAAATTAAGATATCTTTATGAAACTTGGTACCCATGTTTCTTTGTACCGTAAGACGGTTGATATCGCAGATGCACGTAATCGCACCACTACCACGCCCATAAAGCGCCATTAATAAAAAACAAATAAATTGCAATAACTAAACTACACAAAAAGACACAAAACAGTTATTTGGTATACAGGATCACATTAGGGAGAGGCATCTGCTGTTTAAAATCTTTTTAAAAAGTGGGTAAGGCCCCGCCCCCTAATAGGTTTAATGTGCATATCTCCTAACCCGCTAAAGCTAAGATAACAAAATGAACAAATGTTTTTGCACCAATATCGACATTGTGAAAATGGGATAAATCGAGTGACAACCCCGCCCACTCCCCATGTTACGGTACTGTTAAAAACTTCTAAAATCGCGATAAATCAAGCACTAAACACGCCAGAGACATTAAATTTAAAGGCACCGCGTTCAAATATAGACAGTGGGCGTGGCACCGCCCACTTTTTAGTGAAAACCCGTATCGTGGGATCTGCTTAACCGATTTAAACCAGACTCGCTATATAACATTCTGCTCATATTTCTATGTTATAGTGAGAAAATGGACGAAATCGGATTACAACGGTGCCAATTTCCTATATAACACCATTTTAAATTCCATCTGATTCTTTCACTTTCCACTAAAGAAATCTCAAACAAGTGTACCGTTTGACTTTGCGAGAGTATGAAATGCTCGGTTACATCCGAACTTAGTCTTTCCTTACTTGTTTAATATAAAGTTTTGTTAGCTCCCTAACGCCTATACAGGCTCCTATAAAAAAGATATAGATATAATTTTTACGCCATCCGTCTATGAATTACGTGTGTGAGCGATGCCGGATATCCTCACACTGCTACACGAACAATACTTGGCGCGTTCAACGCCTATTGGTTCGAAATAGTGTTGCAAAAAGCATGTAAGTATGTTTGATGCATATGAATAGGGGGGTCTAACTGGACCCCTTACAGGCAAATATTCATACATACGCTCATCTCCGTTTGTCGGCCACTTGATATGAAACGTTGACAGAACTAGAACAACTGGAAGTTATTGTTACAAACTCAAGCAAAAGAGTATGTGTAATGAAGTTAGTGAGGGCGTTAAACCAAATACCCATATATGTATATGCACATACGTACATATGTAGGCACATTTACCCCATCGCTCGCATTCTGATTCAAAGAAATTGAAATTCATTTCGTTAAACTATTTGACGGAGAGATTTGCATGGAGAACATTGATTGTGAAAGACCCTACTGAGATATCCAGATGGTGTCGGAAAGTATTGCATAACTTAAATTCGCAATATTCATTTAAAAATTAGGACGAACAGGAAATTGTATTTGAACAGGCACTGGCGTCCACATATTCAGTACCTAGGGGCTTGAACAGTTTTGGTTCGCTTTAGGCAATGTTTGGTCACAAGGTGGCATACTTTAAACGTAGTATTCACGCAAAGTTTTACCCCGATACATGGGAAATAGGCGTGCTTGTAATCCGATCGCCCATTTTTGTACTATAACATAGAAATATGAGAAGAATCACATATATTGAATCTGGTTGAAATCGGTTAAACAGATCCCAAGATATGGGTTTTAACCTAAAAGTGGGCGTTGCTTGGGTGGGTCCACGCCCACTGCCTAATTTTGAACGCATTTCCTATAAATTTAATGACCGCGGACGTGTTTAGTGCTTGATTTATCGCGATTTTAGAAGTTTATGGGAAGTGGACGGGGTTGTCACCCGATTTAACCCATTTTCATACCGTCGATAGAGATGCTAAAAACCTTTGTTTCCAGTGAATTATTATAGCTTCAGTGGCATAGGAGATATGCACATTAAACTTATTAGGGGGCGGGACCACGCCCACTTAAAAAAAAATTTAAACTGCAAATGCCCCTCCCTATTGTGATCCTGTATACCAAATAAGGGAATATCTTGTTGTGGAGCTTAGTTATGGCAATTTATTTGTTTTTGATTAATGGCGTTTTGTAGGCGTGGTAGTGGTTCGATTACGCCGATCTGTAATACAAACCGTCTTACGATACCAAGAAACATGTGTACCAAAGGTTTATAAAGATATCTAAATTTTTACTCAAGTTACAGTTTGCACAGACGGACGGACAGACGGACTGACGGACAGACCCTATATCTAACTCGATTAGTTTTAGGTTATACAAACAACCGTTAGATGAACAAAACTATTATACTCTGTAGCAACAACTTGCGAGAGTATAAAAATGGGTGTGTAAATCGTTTGTTGTGAGGAAAAATATTTTATTGAAGTAGCGAACAAAACTGATTGAGTTGAGATATATCTGCCAATACGATTTGTGTGTCTTCGTCTTAATTCCAGAGTTTTGCCTCGTTTTATTTTTATTTATTTATGGGAGTTTTTACATTTTAAAAAATATCACTGCCCACGAATTCATCATTATTCCCAATAGTTATGTGAATTGGCTCGACCCTTGCCTTAATAAATATCCTGCGATCCGTTCGTACCCATGTCATTTATAGATTAATAATATCCATTGTTTTATACGCAATTAATTCAACGTTATTGGTTCGACTGGATGTCAAGATCAAAGTTTCACAAAAGACTGTTAAGCACAAGTCAGGCATAGAAGACTAATACCTGTAGTCATGAATCTATTTCATAAACATTTGATAAATGTAGGATGAGCACTTTCTTTTAAGTTTGTTAGGGAAAGTAAATATATTCAGTTTTACACGAGTTATCGGTATAATGACCTGTTTATTTATCAATTAAAATTTTGTTTTTAAGAAGCGAGTATTTTTCAATAATAATGAACAGAATTATGCCATGTTCGAAACATGTTATATAGCCATAGTGCTAAAGCGTGCTAAGATTTTTAGTGGCATGAAGTATAATTTCAGGTAAATTTTATGGGTACTATTTATATATAGTTCTTTAGTAGTACTAACAATAAAAGCGACGGTAAAGTGAATCAAATTATGTAGCCTAGGTACTTGGCAAAGAGGACCTCCACTAATTTACAAATGGAGATGGAATAATTGTTATGCTGGATCGAAATACCAAATATCGTTTATAAAATTTCTTTCATGTTATCTCATTATATCCTGAACAGGGTAATTAAGTTCGCTACAATGTTTGTAACACACAAAACGAAACGTCGGATACCCTATAAAGTGTATGTCTACATAAGAACACAATAGACCTTCGGTCGCGGTGCATACCACATTTTCTAATCTAGTATGTTTGTATATATAAATAATCAACGTGGCGAGATGAATCAATTTAGCCTTGTCCGTCTGTTTGTCTGTAAATACGCGCACTAGTCTCTTAGTTTTTGAGATAACGTAAGATAAGGTAATAATGCAATATCCGCAGAAATTGTATAGATCAGATGACTGTAGAATAAAGCTGTCATATTAACTGAACGATCGGAATAAAGAGCTTTGCATGGCAAAATTTCGACAAGGTATCTTCACGAAATTAGGTACGAGTTATTGTTTAAGGCAACAATGTATTCTCCGCAGAAATTGTTAAGATCATAGTGATAGATATATAGTAAGTAACCTTTGTATTTGTGAAGGGTATTTCAGCTTCGGTTCAATCGTAGATAACGTTTTTTCTTGTTTCTTGTCTGGTTCTAAGGATAATGTGATGTTGACTGTGCAATGACTTTTTCGGAGCAAATTATCAGTAGTTGGTTCCTATCACACTACAAGTATGTTGATTGTAGTCAGTAATTTTTTTGCTGTTACGCGCAGCAGACACGTATCATCTAAATTTTTTTAGAACATAACTCTAATAATGATTCTTTGTCGAAATCATTGCCCTGGTTAGCACGATTATCATACCCTGGTGCCAGATATCCTAGGTATTCAGATTGTTCCTCCATACCATTGTATGTAGATATAACAGTCATATATTATTTCATTTACATGTATCTACTATTAGTAAACTATATTTCAACTTTACTTTTTTTCTTTTTTAATTTCTTGATGTAGTATTTGACGAAATCCGTCCATTGTTTTCAACATATACAGGAATAAAACCGAAATGATACTTATACAATTAAGCAATGTTGATGTCAATACTTAAGTAATAAGTCATAAGCGTATTATTGTAGTAATAAATATAAAAAAATTAAAACTCGAACGACAATTAAATTTTCGGACACGATGTTCGGCTCGAAATTGCGTTCATGGATGGAAAACCACATTGGGCGCCCGCGTAAGAAGGGCGCCAAAAATAAAACTACAAACAGGTATAATAAAATTGAAATACTGGCACATTCAGAATCCATTCCAAGTTTGGATTTGTGTGCAGTTCTCGTATTTGTCTTTTATTCTTTTCTTTTTTTCCCGCATTTTCCTTTTAGCAATACTGTCAGTGCCGCCACTGCCGCGGGCTGCAGTCATGAGGCGTATCAGCATCACGGTGGTAGCAATAAGAAGATTTCCAGCACAAATTCGAGCTCTATTTTTACGCTTCATCACGCGCGCAGTAATGGCGCGTCTTCCACGTCACCATCAATCACTGCCAACTCGTCTGCATCCACGGCGCCGACAATGACGACAATAATGGTTTCGCCCGGCACGATGTCCTCATTCGGTGCTAATCATCACAATGGTGGAGGTGGCGGTTGTGGCAGTGGTAGTGGAAGCGGCTGCGGCAGTGTCATTGCTAGTCCGGTCAGGCGGCGCGAAGTTTCGCCTATTCAAGGCCATGTAAGTTCACTGCGGGAATGTTGATGTATAGTAGCCCACTTAAATCTCCATAAGGATGATTAACTATTTGGGTCTGTGGCGCGTTCTTTGTGTGTTTCATCTCATTTCTCTTTTCATTTTGCTCTCCATTAGACGCAGAGTCGTTACGGTTGGCAGTCACCGGACCAGGAGACAATCACCTCACCGAAATCCGACAATTTCCTATATGCGCCACAACATCGCGTACGCAGCCAGTCGCATCACACAAATCACCATCACCATCAACAGCAACAACATCAACAACAGCAACAACAACCTCCTTATACAGTGCCAAATAGCAAGGATAATTCAAGTGATGATCGTTCATTGCAAGCAAGGTCATGCACACAATCATACAGTCACCATATACTACCACAACAGCAGCAACACTCACAGTTGCCGCAGAATACAATACAACAACAACAACCACATCCCGCCGATTGCTCCTCGTCATCAATTTCGTCGCTATCGTGGTCCACTGGCTCTAAAGAGCCTTCTATGAACTCAAGTAGCAATCAAAACAACAACAGCAACAGTAAAGCTAGTTACAATAATGGCAATAGTAATGGTACGTTTACAAAACCTCTCCCTACACCCGAGGAACAAGATAACAGTACCACAGATTTGCGACATTTCGAAGAGGAGGATCCAAATACCGTTCACTATGAGGAGATACGCACTATTCTACGTCATCCTGAGCATTGTAGTTCTAGTTACAATAGCAACAACAACAGTAACAATCCTTTCCTGATACATGAACGTCCCAAATCGGAGCAGCTCATCTCGTTTACACCTGCGCGTTCACTCTACGCAGATCGGCGCTCGCAGGATGACGCTTCCACGCGCTATGGACGCCTCTTGCCGTCGAAGATTCAGAGCTGCAGCAACTCGAATGACAGTTTGAATGCGAATGGCCCAATGAAATATGTAAGAAGTGGCAGCGCTGAATATATATCACAACAATATCAAAGTTCGGGTAATGGTTATATGTGCAGTACCTCGGGCGAATTTTCTTCGAGTCATCAATCTGGTAACTTGAACAATTTAGCGGCCATGCACTGTCAGCGCGCACGATTGCGTGGCGGTCGCTTTGGCAATGGACATGTTTTAAACGGCACACAGCCAGGAGCAAGTGTGGCTGGAGTACCACTACATAGTCTCTCATCGCCGGAAAGTGCTTACTCTACTGGGTACTCCACCGACGGCACTTCGCCAGGCACCATTTACACTCCACCGGAATATTATATTAATATGCGTACCGGCACGCACTACTTTCCGAAGAGTGTAAACTCGCTGGCCATCGAGGCGCAGCGGTACAAATTTGGTCTGAATAAAATTGAAGAAATGTCACCCATAGACCCTATGGTAAGTTGAAAGTCTTTGAGTTAGAAGATTTAGTTTTAGAATAATGAATTAAAAATTTAAGGGTTAGTTTATCGATTATCGGTGAACATTTATCTCCTCTCCTAAGTTTAAGTGATTACCAAGTTTAACTGGTAGTTAATTTACTAGTTAATGTTCACTGGTTCTGCTCTCCGTCCTGTAAATAATACTTGTAATATATCCCCCAACTTAACAGGCTACGTTGTGATGTTTTCTCCAACGGGGAGTCGAGAAAACATGCTGAATGCCTCCAACAATAGTAAATCTACTATGTTCTCCCCTTAGTACTAAAATAACATAACATTTAGAAAACTGAAAAAATATTTATCTGATTTTATTTTTGAATAGATATTTTATAACGTTAGTTAAGGATTATTACAGTATTATTCCATGATTTTAAGAACAAACCTCACTTATTTAATCTTAGTTAATGATAATTTCATAACAATATGTATACATACAGAAGCATTACATATAAACACTCGAGTATATTATAAAAATTTAATTTTTGACATATTATTTGCTTCATTGTTTAGCCAAAGACATCATTCGCCAATGCATCAAATCTATACAAGCGTGCCGATTCGTATGATATGGGCCAAGGTTGCAGCAACAACAATGGCACTCATCATGAACCGTTCATACCATTGGATGCCCCTCATGCCATCCAGTATCCTGAAAGTGTTGGACGACATAGTCCCTTACCGTTACGTAACACAATTGTTTTGCCCACCTTGAAGGGTTTTGAATGTAAGTCCTATTTAGTATATTATAAAAGTATAAACAAAATCATTGACTTCGAGGATCAATATCATATCTAAATGTCATTGTCACGTTTCGAAATGCTCCTTTTCTCTTCAATCGTACAGCACCCTCCCCCAGACAGCGTTGTCGCATACGTACGAATCCGTGGTATCTCACAACGGAAGCAAATGCACCAGCGGCGGGAAGTGTACAGAATGTATTAGCATTTTTGCCACCACCGCCAGCAACACAACCGCCGCCAACGGCGATGTCAACAACATCTGACACGTCGACGGTTTCTTCGTCAGCACACTCAACGAAATTGCCTGAGGCTGTCAACACGCCTCTACGCCAGCAGAAACAAGGAAAGATGACGACAAGTGGAGTTGTTGGAGATGGGCGAAGGGAACTTGATGCCGCAAGCACATCATCCTCTGGCAAGAGATCCAGCAATGCAACAACGGATGGACGCCGGGTAGTGCAACACATCCAACAGACAAGTGACATGTAAGTGGTCGAGTAGAACGCAGAAAGCGCAATCAAATACTTCGTCATAATGTGCTTTATGCCACACGAGTGTAGTTTCTCGGCAAGGAGAAAAGAATAAAGGTGGTTTCAGTTAAAATGCTTAATTTTTATCTGCTTTGCAGGAACAATGCTGACAAGTTGTCTGCAGGGTATGAGTCGACAGAGAGCTCTTCGTCTTTGACTGAAGTGGAAAATATGCAAAGGAATTATACACCCAACACTGTACGTCGCAAGCGTGCAGAGCAATTGCAAAGGAAGATAGGACAACCTCTAGCTACAATGCTAGCGAGTGTTTGTGTAATAAGTGACGACCGTGCTGGAAGCAACAGGGAGCCGATATTAAGTGATGATGATGCTACGCTGAACGAGATGATGGGAAAGTTTGATGAGAGTTACGTGTATGAGAAGGAGACTGATATACTCAGGTGGATAGCAGCTTAAAATAATTGGTAATACAAGGTTAATGTGTATATAAATTGAACATTTTGCAGCAGTGATTCCGACCAAACAGATTGCCCATCAGACTTAGATACTGGACAGGATGCTGGGGATGAATGTGACACCGACGAGCTCCTCGACATAGACTTCATTGATAACTCATCCATGCAGGAGGTTGCCGAGCGTAGAGACTCAGACTGCAATTTGGACAGTTGTTATTACTACATCCAGAGTTCCAAGTCAATGCACCAGCATGGTGGAAAGCGTGCATCCATTCCCTCGCGCAGAAGTTCGCGAAGTTTGAAAAATGATCAAGAGGGCAGCAAACAAGTCGAGACTACTGTAAGCAGTTCACAGCGACGACGTAAGCGATTTCTGAAGACACGCAAGAAGAGTGCTGAGAATCGTAACGAACAACCGAATTCGCCACATAAATCTCGAAAGTCACGCAGTGTAGGTGGTACGCCGGTGTGCTTGCGCAGACAAAGACATATCACAGCGAAGAATAGGTAAATATACTACCATATATTAGCAAAAGATAAGGCGACTTAAATAATTTATGATATACTTTTAGGGTTTATGAGACTTCGCCCCTAACAAATAGATCCAGCTCACTGGTGTTTACAGACGTACGAGATACTAAGCGTTTTATGACAATCGCTGAAAGTGAACGGGCTTTGTTTAAAGCTGATTTGGAGGCTGACGTTAAGTACAGACAACTCATACGGGAAGCTGAATCCCTACTAGTCTCCATGAAAAACAGTATGCAAAGGTGAGTACTTTACTCTACAACAAGGAAAAAATTCAACTAACTTTTCGCGCACTTTAGTATACCACGTGACACACCCGTCTCAAGTCCACGACGAGTCAATCCTCTAGCTAACAAGCGAGTAGAAATGTTAAAGAGCTGTGAAACAGAAACACGACGTGAACAGCTTAAGCAAACGCAGCAACGTTCTTTGGATGCTATCCATTTAGAGAAACAACAGAAGCAGCAACAACAAGAGTTAGCGGCCGCTATTAATCGACGTATAGACCTACTGCGACATGCACCTGCTTCAGCACCAAATAGTCCACGATTCAGTCGCTGTAGCCCACGAAAAACCCACATAACGAATTTCATCAACCAAAATGTGCCCCCAGAGGTGCCGGCGCGCAAGTTGGTGGAAACATCGAAACCTCCTCAGTCACCACAGCTACAACTAAATGACCGATTATTGACACAGAACACAAAATCCACAACCATTCAAGAACGTCGATTCCACAGTCAATCACCGGTATCGCGATACAAGCTTGGTGCTAATTTGAGTCGTGGTCAAAACTTCGATAGTGACTCTGATTCCGAGTTTCAAAACAAGGATTATCACGAAAATCAACTAAGAAATGACGATTATAGAGAGCAACGGACCAAAACCCCAATTGCGGCCGCTGTGGATGCGGTAAACCACAATTACTTGCCAGAGTTCGCGCGAATTTCACGCTACGATGAAGCAGATTTGTCTAACCACAATGTGACCAACTTACAGGTAAAATCGGGCAGTTCAGCTGCTAATTGGCAGACTAGAATATTGCAAGCTTGTCCACAGAGCGAGCCACTGAAGAGAAAGGTTTACAGCGGCAGCTCGACATTTGAGCGCATCAAAAAAAGTTTCGACTTGGAGGCGGGTAAGTGCTTTTATAATTATAGGTTTTTAATTTTGCAAGAAGTTAACTTCAATCAATATTTTAGAAATCCCAAAACAAGCAATGTTGGCAAAAATTCATAATTTGAGGCGTCGTGAGCGTCAAAGCACGAATCCACGTTTAAACACACACACAAGCAGTCATGATTTCCATCAAGAAGTGGGAGAACATTGTATCGGTGATAGCGAGTTTGTTGTCACCAACTCTGATGATGTCAATAAAAAGCAAATGATCCTCAGCACAATTGCAGATCTAAAACGCAGTCTAGAGTCTCAGAGCGTCGAGTTAAATGGTCTCAATGAGGACTAAAGATAAAAAAGAGTGAATTCTGGATCTCACATATATACGAATAGTACATAAAATACTGAACCTGAACCTACCGAACTTGTTCAGTCTTGTAATATTGTCCGACCAGCCAGAAGATTTAAAAAACCATCTCTGTAAATTAGTATCTTAAAATACTCCAGACCTAATTTTTTTTTTAATTTTTGTGAACTCAAAATTATTACACCTCGATTTAGCTATTGGCCATCATCGATAAATTAAAAATGTAACATTAGAATTTACACTGACTATAAGGTACATAAAGGGTGTTCTTTTAAACATGTGGTTTCCAAGAAGAAATAAAAAGCATATTATTTAAGGTTGTGGCCAAGAATTTAGCTTTATTATAATATATTATATTAACATATTATAATATTTTGCGGTTGGCTTCAATAAATTCCAGCTAAGAGGCCTAATTTTGACCACTGTTTGCAGCAATTGAGGCAATGTTAGCAAAGTCATCGAATATTATTTTCAAATTCGTCAATCGTCTCGGTATTATCGGCATAGACTAGTAACTCCACATAGCCCCATAAAAAATAGTTCTCTTGTAGGCCTCACCACAGGCCCACAACGGGAGATAAAGCACTCACCAAAAGTTTCCTTCAGTAAATTAATCGCTTCGTTCGCTGTATGGCATGTAGCGCTATCTTGTTGAAACCACAGGTCGTCCACATCCACATTCTCCAATTCAGGCACGAGAAAGTCATAAATCATGGTTCTATAGCGTTCTGCTTTGATTTCAACATTATGGCTGACTTCATTTTTGAAGAAATATGGACCAAAGATTGCTTCTGCCTGTAGGGTACACCAAACAGTGGCTTTTTGAGGATGTGACGGCGTCGCAACAATGACTAATACAATAGATTATCATCACTCCAAATGCAACAAACGTCCCCATTCAACCAAAAGTGAGCTTAATCACTGAACAAAATTTTCTTGGGAAAATCGGGATTGGTGGCAATCTCGTTTTGGGCCCATTCACCGAACATGCGACGCGCTTGATGTTCGTTCGTTTTGGTAATAAATTCCAATTGGAAAACCAAACTGAGTACAAATCAAGTAACAGCTGTCAAAAAGACCAACTCCGTAATAAATATTGTCTCATTGAAAATCACAGGTCCAAAAAAACCACCCGAATGTGCATTATTTTTCTACCATGCTACTATAATTCGTTTTATTACCTGTCAAAATGGTAATTGTTTTAATTTGTCCCCAATGTTCCACTAGGCACCAATCTGGACCTTGGTTAACTCCCAGCGCCCCAAGAGCGCTCTTTGTAAGATTAGATTTTTGATTGAAAAAACTTCTCATAATTTTTATAAGCGAAGTTAGCGAAAACTTCCTATAAACCTATAATCTAAAGTTTTGTCAGAGAAAATTATGTCTAAAGTGTTTTTCTTTCAACATTCTTACTGATTTTGTAAGTCTCTAAATTAATTTTTTAAATTTTTTGTGAAAAGAAATTTCTTCGAAGCAGAACGGTTTATTTTTCGTGTCAAGTGCTTTCATGATTTAATATCGTTGTCAATTTATTAACGGGGACCTGTTAAATAGAAATATTTTATTGGATTTCATCAGGTTATATTGCCTGCTTCTAAGATGCTATTTATTTTCCTACCTGATTTTTAATTGTATTACTTATTTAATTACTTAATTTTAGTTCATTTCAGGAGCTTTCAAATGTTTGTCTAAAGGCAAAATTTTGTAGCCGACAAATTTGTAATAGCATAACCTAAATTATTGGTCCTTTCTCTTTACCTTGGTCTCTTTACCTAATGTCATTCATACAGTCATCATATCAACCACATCTTACATCACCTGTCATTTAAATAACTCATCCGCCCTTTTAATGCATCACCTTTTAGATTTGAGTTTTTTAATCTGCTCAGATTTGATACTGACTATATATTTATACTTGTAATTACATACGATGAATATATACCTATGTTCATATACATGTATGCAATGTGTAAACATACCTATATAGAGTAGCTACATACTTACATATACATATGTGTGTATGCGTTAATTTAATGTCATTGACTTAGAGTAACGTTAAAATGATTATAATTATGCAATTATTAAACAAATAATATATTAATAAGTAATAACAGGGAACGAATCGAGAGAACAATTGACAATTATGGTAAACGACGTCATCAGCCGATCAGAATATTTCCCATTAAACGGAAATAAATATTCTTAAGCATTTATCACGGTTTATTTAATCACATATGAGTCCCAGCCACAAGCATACGCTGTTGAAGGTTACTCATACGACATGGCGAAAGGAAAAATCTAAAAGACAGCGTAAGAAAAAAAAACTCACTGAAAAAGTATTACAATTAAAATTTTGTTACTAAATATTGATATGAATATGACCAGCGTAATTGCAAGCCATAAGATAGATTAAAAAAACTCAATTTATGATTATATTAAAGCAAAATCAATAAATAATTTAATTGAAGGACTGAAAGCATTACCACATAGCTGTTTACCACATAGTTGACGAACACTATATCTATCTATGCATAAATATGGCAGCGTTAAAATAAAAATACGTGAAGATATAACTACTTGTATATGTATACAATCGTGCATTAGAAGTGCGAGTATATAGCAGATAAATGTTAAGCGAGAACGATTCATATTTTTTTAGACTCGGAAAAGTTATGATTGATATTGTAAACGAGCGTTTGTAGTAGCTATGGAACCATTATTTATCGTAGTGCTGAACAGACCAGAAAAATTAAATATATATGTATATGTATAACTACAAGTATATGTGTTCACTGCAATAAGTTAGGAGCGCACAACACACATATATATAGGGACTAGGGAAAGGGTTTGCCGCTTTATTTTTCAATTATCATGCAAGTATTCTGTTTATACAATGATCAAATCAAAACAATTTAAAAAAACAGTTTGTTTAAAAACGAACAATTTTACAAGGGTTCACAAACACATAATAAATAAGTTCTAAATTTTCTGAAAATTTTCACTTATTCAATTAATTGATATAGGACAGTAGTTAACGCTGTTTGTGTTTCGAATTCTCAGCAAAATAGTAGAACTGAGTACAAGGGGATATTTGACACCGATGAGGAATTGACAGTTTCTGCAAAAAGAAATGTCGATTTGACAGATAAATTAAAGGTAGATGATTTGAGCTACCATTTCTATGACTTTAGGGTAATTGAAAAGTAACAATGACCGTACAATATGGGTTTTACGTTTTGGATCGCTATTCTGAAATAATTTGAATATTTCCCAAATACTCATTTTATTGGCAGGTTCTTCCAAATTTTCCCTAAAAAGTTGCTTATAAGCGTACTGGTACATAATCCCATTAGCAACAACTAGATTTCCAACGCCTTTAGATGATATGCATCCCCACAACATTATATGTCCACCTCTGTGCTACACTTTTGGTTGAAAGTTTCTATTTTGAAGCTCTTTATTCGGTTTATGCCACACTATAGTCCTATAGTCCTAGCCATCGCTGGCAAACAGATTAAACTTACTTTTTTCACGAAAATTACGTCATCTACCAGCTTTTATCCTTTTTTAAGTACTCTCAGGCAAAGTGTAATCCCTTATGCATTGCTCTTTCCTAGCTTCTTTCCGACTGTAGCATTGTCTCTTCAATATATTCGGCAGCCAATTTTGGAGCCTTCAATTAAGGGTTTGCCTTTATTTTCCTTAGAATTCCCTGTTCCGTCAGTTTTTTGGTCTGGCCTTTTTGCTTTATTGGAGCGCAGTATTTGACTCCATATATAATAATTCACTGATTTCCTGACATGTTTTGCTCTTTACATGCATTTGAAGAGCTAGTTTCCATTGTTCTATCGTTGAATTCTTCCGTTTGCGATATTAAATAACACTTCCATAATTTATTTTGAATCAAAAATTGTCAGGAAATTTGAACTTAAATATAATCATCCATCCTTTTTTCCATTGTTATGTCATTCGTAAAATTTGAAGTTACCTGAGAGACTTCTTTAAGGTTTTTTGAAACTATTTTTAATTAGTTTAGTAAAAAAACTCGAATATTAATGTTGCGTGAATTCTCGACTAGATTCTTATTTTTAATCTTTCTGTAGCTCTTTCTGTTAGCTCAAATAAGACTTTACTTTGTCATTATTAAATTTTTGTTACTCATCTTGAGATCCCTTCAAGCCTTTTATTTAAAAAATAATGATAATCCCTTCAATGTTTGAAAACTAATACTATTTTTGTATATTTTTAAGGAAATTTAAATATCCAATAGATCTCCTAGAGGATTTGGATTGTTCTGCGTTTTGAGAAAAGGCAAAAATCTAGTAAAATTTGCAAATATTTACTTACATGATATAATGTAATATATACTAAATAAATATATATTGTATTACACTTATAGTTTATTGAAAATTGTAATACTTTAAAAATGTGAAAAGTAGAATACAAACAGTGTTCATATGAAATTTTTTAAGTATATTAACGGTATTTATCAAAAGTAATATTTCAAATCATTTTTAGAAGCTTTACGCACAATTAAATATGGAGGCATTTCTTTTTTATTTGCAAAGAAAGTAAAGTGGCGAGATGACTTGACTTTTTTCGTAGGAATCTAATTAACTACAAATTATGTAAAAGTCAATAAATGTAAGAGTAATTTATTTGTATTGTGCAATCAATAACAGGGTTGCATACAATTACTTATGGAAATTAAACGGTGCTTCAAGAAATGAGTTTTTTCAGGTGTGTTGGCAGTTGCAGCCTGAATTTATATAAGAATATACATACATCAATATCAATATTAATAATAATTGCGGAAGCCCTATATATAAGTAATATAACGGTACTAGCATAAGATACGTACACATACATAAATGCGTTGTTGATCGTAAAGTTAATTTGAAATCTATGACAAGTCAATGGCAAATAGCTGCAAGATTTAGAAGCGGAAGTTATTTAACACAATTATATATAATAATGCATATATACGTATGCATGTAAGTAGCAATAAATAGAACGCAAAAAAGAACTTACAATATGAGCTGTTACTCTCCATCGAAAGAAGCTATGAATTGCAGAAATATCATTCGATTTATGACATTAATTGGAGAGCCACAAATTACTCACAACCCTAAAAAATATAGAAATTTAGTATTATCTTATACGCTTATCATAACTAAATATCATCTAACATGGGGTTGTGCATTCAATTACTTATAAAATTAATTATTTTTGAATTACATGAGAACTTGCGACGAAACATAAATATTAATAATTTTACCAATTAACTACAGTTAAATACTTTTTATGCCTTGTTTTGAGGTCAACATTCATTAAATCGCTACGAAGCACATCCCTAATAAGACAACTAAAATAATTTCGGTAATTAATTCATATTAATTGTTCTCAATTAACCATACAATGATCCATTAACTTACTTATTGTCCAAATAGTAAAGTTAAATTGAAATAAAAGCGCCTCCATTCAATTGTGTGATGTGATGAACACGTAGTGAGAATCCTAATTATCAGCAGAGAAGCCCAAATGTTTTCGGTTTGGAATGTTGTTAGTTATTATGTATTTTATTGGCACTGAAGTCTTCACACATAAAATTAAATAATGTTTTAGACAGCTGTCAACCCTTAATTGTTTAAACCAAATAAATATATAAATTTCAACTCCAAATAATTTCCTATATAAAAATGTTAACGGGAGACAATAATGCTGAACAATATCAATTATCTATAATGTTTGGCCCTACTTGAAATAAATTAAATGGAAGCAACTCTATTTTTCTTTTGTTGTCGAAATAACTGAATTTAGTCAGAATACTGAAAATACAGAATTCGTACTGAAAGTTATTATTAGAGACCACAGCAACGGCGAATAATGTTTCGCAGTTTAATTTCTTTACAGTCCTGCAGTTGAAAATGAACTGCGTTTAAAAAGTGATATTGGTTTTCATTGATAATATTTAATAATATGTGAATGATTAAATATTAATTTCCGATATCATCAATTCTCATATTTGTCCAGTTGGTACCGTTTCTATCACTGAATAAAACTCCCAACTATTTCCGATTACTTTAAATTACTATGAACCGAAAAAGCCCGTTAGTCGAAACTGCGGAAAATTATTAACGATATACATATGTACACGTGAAGACCTCGTGTTTTTTCAATCTTAAGCTAAGGGTATTTATTTATTAATTTTTCTTTTGAATACACAACCCCATTCCTAGTCATACCCTCTTAGAGTTGTACTCATACTTTGATTAGCATCTGAATAGCAAATAATTTGATATTTTTACAATATTATATTATGGGACTTTTAAACCAATTAAAATAAATTAAATATTTAATAATTTAGCAATTGATAGAATTAACATAATTTTGTAATGAATATTAGCACAATATTGAATTATAATTTTGTTTAAATAAAATTATATGTATCAAATTAGATTGTTTGTTTTCAAAACTAGCAGAATTTAGTTGTATTTGTTTAATGTAGAAATTAAATATTGTAATTGTAATTTTAAGTGTTATTTTCCTGCATTTGATTTCCGTTTCGCGTACTTCCGTGCGCTTTTACCGCATATGGGAAGAGAGAGTAGCGAGCAGCGGAAACTTTGTTTAAGATAAGAATTGGCTAAGTAAAAGCCAAGTAAAATTGATTTGTTTTGAAAATAGTTTAGACACTGGAAATCTGAAAAACGAAAATATTGAAAAAAATAAATTAATACAAAGAAAATTTTTAAGAATACGAATGCGAACGGCACTTATCCCATACAATATAATTGCATAAAAGTAGATTTGTATAATTATTGTTTGTTTGAATATTATTAGTCGTTTTCTTACCGTTAAATCATATGTAAGCCATGACCATTGCTACCAAATGATCTTGTAACTCTTTTCATTATCATTCAATTCGACTTACTTAGAGTTGTTTTTATTTTGTAGTAGAAATAACTCAGATTTTATATCAAAAGTCTATAAATATCATTGATATAAATGCAAAATTATGCAATTAATAATATACAGACACACATCATATAATATCTACAGTTATTATTGCATTAGCGATATTACATTTCGACAGTATTCTATGGTATATACTAATAAAGTGATAATAAAAATAAAATCAGTGAAAGAAATAATAAAATAAAATGTACTCTAATTATAATAAAGAAGTAAATTTACAAATAAATATGCTTTTTTTTCTTATAAGTTATTAGCAACCTAAAAAAGAAAAAAACCATTGCATAACTAATGTGTCACTAGCAAGATATTTATTTTTTCGTTAAGTTTCCTCTTTATTACACAATAGTTCTACTAATTAAGGTGTTAGTATAATTTTTAAGTTAATTTCTTAGTAGAACAATTTATAATTTATGCATTCATTTTACTCTAAGATACTTTTCTTTGTTAACTTTATGTCTTTCCACTGTTGAATAGTTGACCTTTTTTATTACGTAAAGTCGCAATTTAATTTTGTGAAGTTCCTACTTTCTTCATTATAAAAAAATTTTATTTTGATTTGAAATTTTGCACGCGCCCTTTTCCTTCCAAGAAGTTGCTCATTTGTCTGCCATACAAAATTACTAAAGATCTTTTTATACCCTTTTATGCTATAAAAATGCACCTGTGAACCTTCTTTACACTTTACGTTCTTTGATTTTACAACACTTGTGGTTCATTGTACATAATCGTACAATGTGGATCTAATTAGAAGAGGTGAAAATAAATTCATAAAAAGTTCTTTATAATTTCACATTTTTGAGCTATTTTGCATCTTTTCACAAATAGAATTTTAAGACCTAAAGGTTTCAAATAAATATTTTGCACACTTCGAAAAAAAATTAATATTTATTTTGTTGACGGCAGTCCAAGATACAACAATGTTAACTTCAAGAAGCCGTCATAATCAGACTTGGGGTAGGACACAAAATTTCTAAGAAAGGTAATAATGAATATAGTTGAGCGTACTCTTTTCTATAACTATTCAAAAATTGTTTACTGTCCAACTATTAAATGCATTTGGTGTTGTGAACAATATTTCCATTAAATAAATAGGTAGCTAAAGGTGTTTTCTACTAAACTATCCAAATTACCTATGTTTTATCCAGCAATATATTTATATTCCACAATATAACGAAAAACCCAAGTTAGTGGATGGATGAAAAAAAAATGTTTGATGTAAAGGTTGAAGTATAAAAATAAACTGAAAATAATCTTAAGTTCTTCGTGGTTCTCTAAATTTTTTTTGCTCCATACATTAGTGTTTTAGTTGAATGCGCTTTATTCGAAAACAGATATTTTTTAATCTCATGCTTGATTCCAAAATTTTACCTAGCATTATTTGCTACTAAAACCAGTTTTTTTTTAAATAAACATCTGGGAATAAATATATCTCTCAAAAGAAAAATCGGGCAATTTTAACTCAACTTACCAATTATCATGAAAAAAATCCTATATGCCTGTTAATTTTAAGCTTTTGGAGGAAGGTGTAGTCATACCTGCATACAAATGATCCTGAGTATAATATAAATATGTTGAGCCAATTAATCTTATTATTGAAAAAATTAAATATTCAAAAACTTAATATATAGCAATCATATGCTTATTATATATAATGTGTTTAGTAAAAATTAGTATTTATAAATTGACTTAGATAACTTTTTACAAGTTTTAAATTTCTAGTTTAAACTCGATGAACTGTAATCCTTAATTATATTATCTCTAAATATTACGATATAGTTTCAAAGCCGTTCTCTCCTTCAAGCAGCTGTTTTTACTATTTGAAATTTAAGTCAGATTTAAAGTTTGTGCTAGTACATGGGATATGACGTTTGTTTCAGAAAATTTCATATTATTAATTCCTTATTTAAAACTAAATTTAATAAAGACATTTTTACTACAATATTAAAAAATTATTGCCATTATTTAATAATTTGTAAAACAAGGAGAATATTTTTTATCTTTTTGAAACCGTTTCTATATTTACAATGATTTTTATTATGTTTTACATTAGTATCCGTATAAATTTTTCATCTGCTTATGTGATTAACATTACCAATGAAAAAAGAGTTATGACGATTCACAACTTATAGTGGAAAGACTGAATGAAGTCTGTGTATATAATTTGAAAACAAGAGTGATGAGACGCCCGGAATACACGCCCAGACATTTCTTATTCGCTTTCTTATTTTATTGAAGTTATTTTTTAAATTACGTTTTAACATGCGTGAACAATACATGATCCTTGGTGTTTTGAATATATTGTAAATATAATATTGTCATTATATATATTTTTGCATATTTTGTTAGTCTTGTACTAAGCATGTTATAAATACGCTAGTTAGTCTTTGTCAAGTTGATAATATCTATTCGAATTTATAAGCGTAGGTTTAAATTGAAATAAAATTTGAAGCAGTGAAATAAAAAAAAGAGTATTAGTCAGTAAATTTCATAAGAGTATAGTTAAAGTTAATGGAATAGAAATGAACTTTGACAATCCGACGAGCTTTCCAAACAACACCCCTTACAGTATATTTGATACGAATAAACAATTTATATATAAAATCAAACTTTTGTTTCATTTATAGTGGTAAGTTAGAATTAATTTTGTAGGGATTTATTTGTCTAAACTTTTAGAAAAAATTTTTATAAATAAATATTAGTAAAAATGATTCAAAGTGGAAAAATTGGTAGCGAATTCGGTTACTTCTTGTGCAATAGTCTCGAGTATACATTTGTATTTTTATTTATTTAATCCTTAAATTATTTATCATTAATTTTCGGTACAAAAATCACATTAGGCTTACAAAACATTATCACTTAATATCATAAGGCTTTCTTGCATATTTACCAATATGTATAGCATAAAATCTATCGGAGGGAAGAAAGTCATTATATTGATTATATTCGACCATTTCCAAAATTTTTGTCCTTTCGATAATTATACCCTGAACATGGTATATTAGGTTTACCACGAAGTTTGTAACACCTGTAAGTAAACGTCGGAGACCGTATTAAGTATATATATAATCCGTGCCCGCCTGCCTGTCTATCCTACCGTCCGTGTGTATATCCATTTTTGAGGTATTGATCTGCTCAATTGTCGGAACCGCCGATATCGGACCACTACAGCGTGTAAATGCTATTCTAACTGACCTATCAAACTCAAAATTTTTTTATTTGAGATGATATCTTCACGAAATTTGGAATAATCTATGCCAAGGTAACGCTATAATCTTCGCACAATGCTTCAGATCGGACCACTAAGACATATGGCTGCCTTTCATGTTGACCCATCAAATCTTCATACCATATCTTTAATCTTTATTAGGTTACCTTGATTTGAATTGAGGAATTTTTATATCAAACAATGTGACTATAAAGAACTAGCAAAAAGAATTTGGTTTCACATTCCATATCTTTTACGTAAAGCTCAAAGGGCTTTAGTGTTACCAATTTATTTGTATTATTGGCATTTGTTAAAGTGAATTATGTGATGAAGTGGATTATATGGGTTGATAGTTCAAGTTTCTCATTATTGGCTTTTAATTATTTCATACAATTAAAAAAATGTCCATCCCTGCTTGAATAGCTGGAATTTATGCCTAAATTCGAATTCACGGTAAGCTCTCTTGGCGTGCGCAAAAACATAGTATATAGATATCTCTATATGTATATACATATGCACATATAAATAGTGATTGACACCACTATTTCAATACATATGTGTATATTCGCACTTAAAATTCATGTCCTATCCTCAAACCAGTAGTCGAAGTTGTCGATGAAGATCCAGAAGTATTTTGCTATTCATAGGGAGCATGCGCGTCAGTATGTCAACAAGCCACAAACTTTATCCAAGTGAATATGTGGTTTTACAAAGCCCAGTAAGCTTAGAATTCTAAATAGAAATAAGAAGAAACATTTCGCAAATGTGAATCGTCTCATCACGGATGTATGTAATACGCGGGTCCTCAACCAAATATAAGTGGTAAAACCAAAAGGAAGGCTATGCTATGCTCACGTACTTATCAATATGCTAAAAGCTGAACATAACAGCAATTTTATACATACACACAATACACACAAATATACGAACATAATAACAGTATATACTTGATAACATAAACGCACTCTACGATATGAGCTATGCCTCGGTTATTGCATAATGGAGCTATATTTTTATTCTACAGTAATAGATACAGGGTAGATAATTTTTTAAAGCAAATAAATAAGCATAGTAGCATGAAACCCAATGGAAAATGAAAGGAAAAATAATTGAAGGGCGATCTGAGTTTGGGAAGAAGGGAAGGGGTTCGGTTTTCCTCGATTTCCGGCTAAAATTCGATTCCTATTGAAAAAAGTTGTTGTTCAAAGTTGTAGGTAATAAACGGAACTTTTTCAGCATTTTCTGTGAAAATTTAAGATAGCAATGTGTATATTTTTATACCATCAGAAAGTAGAAATTTTAACAAACATAAGGCTTACAGAATTAAAAAAAAATTTGTATTTTGACGTGAGAATTTTTGATTAAAAATTAGGGATTTTTCAATTTTAAGTTGAAATAAGCTTTCCTTCTTAGTATTTTAAATTAAAAAACTAGAGTATATTTGATCCATAAGAAGGTAAGTTTACACAAAATTGGTGAAAAAAATGTTTTTGTAGAAGATAAAAATAAAAAATTTGGATATTTGAATTTTTCACATAAATTTTTAGGTTATAATAATAATAATAATAAACCCAACGATTACCCTCCTCCCGCCCAACCGACGCGAGGGGCGCAATCCGCATACGTGCGGAATTAAACGAGTCAGAAAAGGAAAGAGAGTTTTTTAAGTGTTGAGATCTAAAACTGTTCAGCTACAGAAACAAAAATTTCAACAGCTAAGATCTAAAGTTACAATATAATAAATTGTTACATTTTCATTTATTAAGAAAAAAGAATAAAGTCTTTTTAATTTTGAAAAGTGAGTCAGATAAGTCAAATGTGCTGGAATGAGAATTAAAATCATGACATATACGGCGGAATGGCTCGGTTAGTTCAAAATTTGATCTACAGGATTTTAGCAGTAAAGGTCTAAACTGCCTCGAAAGGCGAACCGGGATATTAAATTTAATTTCAGACAGGAGAAAAGAACTGCAAACAGTTCCATTCAAAAGTTTCACTAAGAATATTATGCCAAGCATTTCCCTACGACTAGAAAGTGTAGGTAGATTAATAAGTTTTAAACGACTAGTGTATGGAGGTAGACTTACCCTAGTATCCCATCGGAAATGCGCTAAGGCGAAAAGTAAAAATTGTTTTTGAACCGACTCTAACTTGTCAGAATGGATTTGGTAGCTAGGGTTCCATACCACAGAGCCATATTCCAATATAGGTCTAACCAAAGTTGCATAAAGTGTTTTAGTAATATACGGATCTCTAAATTCTTTAGACCAACGTTTAACAAAACTGAGGACAGCTTTTGCTTTCAAGACCATGGTATCAATATGAAGACTGAAATTAAGCTTAGGGTCAATATTAACTCCCAAATCAACATAGTTAAAAACTTGCTCTAGAATATGGTGTTTTATTACATAAGAAGAGGGGTGCACAGATCTACGGGAAAAGCACATCGTCTTACATTTATTGAGATTCAATGGCAAATCATTTCTATCATACCATGCAACCAGTTGAAGTGTATGATTTACGTCGTCAGCGTATAATAAAATTTTTGAGAATTCTATTACTGAAGAGATATCGTTAATAAACAACAAAAACAGAATCGGGCCAAGATGACTACCTTGCGGAACACCTGAAGAAACATTAATTGTATCTGAAGGTGTATCCTCAAATATCACTCGTTGTGTTCTATTATAAAGATAGGAAGATACCCATTGAAGGAATCTTGGCTGAAAGCCCAGCAGATCAAGTTTATGTATGAGAATCGAGATATTTACTTTATCGAAAGCTTTGCTAAAGTTTGTGTATATAACATCCGTATGCTTATGTTCCCTGAAACCCATGATACATGGTTTACAAATTCAAGTAAGTTTGTTATAGTCGAATTCCCTTTACGAAATCCATGCTGAGATGAGGAAATTAACGGAGAAATCGAAAAGGTTATATGGTCAGTGATGATAGCTTCAAAAAGTTTAGGTATAACTGATAGTTTTGCGATACCTCTAAATCCACTTTTATGCAAAGGGATTATAAATGACTGTTTCCATATTGCAGGAAATATACCGTGTTTAAGAGAGGAATTAAATATCCTTGTCAAAGGCAGGTAAATATATAATATTTGGCACTATTTTTTAGGAAGCATGAGGGTATCATGTCTGGGCCATAACTAAAAGATGGTTTTAACTTATTTAAATTAAATAGGACGTCTTCTTCAGAAATAATTAGAGCGTTAATTAAAGTATTCGAATACAGCACGTGCTGATAAGTAAAAGTTTTGGAAGAATTATTACAGTAATTTGACTTGAAAAATTCTGCAAACATATTGGATATAATAACATTGTCAGTTGAAATGATAGATTTGTATTTCATCCCCCATATAACGGTACTGTTAAAAACTACTAAAAGCGCGATAAATCAAGCACTAAACACGCCAGAGACAATAAATTTTATCTCTGAGATGGTATAAATTGGCTTTATAGGAACCGCGTTTAAAATTAGTCAGTGGGCGTGGCACAGCCCACTTTTAGGTGAAAACCCATATCTTGAGGTCTGCTTAACCGATTTCAACCAATTCGGTACATTACATTTTTTTTCATATTTCTATGTTATAGTGCGAAAATGGGCGAAATCGGACTACAACCACGCCTATTTCCCATATAACACCATTTTCAATTCCATCTGATTCTTTCACTTTCCACTATGCATATCAAGCAACAATGATTATATCGGGGTAAAACTTTGCTTGAAAAATACGTTTAAAGTATGCCACCTTGTGACCAAAAAGTGTCTAAATCGAACCAAAAATGTTCAAGACCCTAAGTACTAAATATATGGACCCCATTGCCTATAGTACCTTCTACCGAAAATATCAGTCAATCCACAAAGAAATCTCAAACGAGTAGACCATTTGACTTTGCGAGAGTATAAAATGTTCGGTTACATCCGAACTTAGCCCTTCCTTACTTGTTTGTAGATAATTATATGCTCTGCAAAGTCGTAGTTTTGTAATGTTCTATAATAAATAGTGTTCATAGCGCATGTGATGTAGGAAATATTTAAGGTAATTTTTTACACCTTGGTTGAAAGAATTTTCAAAACCCGTCAAGTAGTTTCGGAGCCTATTTAATTCAAACAAACAAACAATCAAATCTTTCCTCTTTATAATATTAGTATAGACAAGCTAAAATCTTTATACAAGTGATTCGTAGATTCGGATATTATTCGGGATTTCAGGTGCTATTTTGTGTTGCTTTAAAATATATAAGCTTGGGAAAATACTACTTCCTAACTCATCTATAATATTCTTTAATGGAGATTCTATCCAGGGACTTGGCTATTGGGTTATCGGATTAAGTCTCAGATATATCTATGATCAGCGTTATAGAAGTGATGGTATTTCTTTATTTT